AAAATATGAAATCAATAAGAGTATTTCAGTAAGGTGAAAAGTAATACGGAATGGGAGAAGGTGGTGTGACAGAATATAGATGATAAACAAGTGAGGTGGGTGAATAAACAAGACAGGGGATAAGAAATGTCAATCTAATTGAGAAATAAATGTAAAATAAATAAATTTTAAACTAAAGTGATAATAAACAAATGAGCTGATTTGGGCGAATAAAAATTATGCTTACGCCAGTTTGTCAGTCAACATTTTATTGTCCAAATTGTAATCATGGGGGTACGAGTCTTCTAGAATTGGTTGTAAACGCTTTAATTTCTGACTTTGCTGGTTCTTGTGGCGTTGCTGATGCTCTTGCTGGCGTCGACGTCGTCTCGACAGTCGAATGCTGGCCTCAGCCCAGCGTACAGGATATTCGAATAAAAGAAGGAGACCGCCACAGATCATAACGAAACCAAGTAATCGAAGAGACCATGCATAGGTGCCACTTGTATCTTTAACCAAGCCTGATTGAGGGGGCATACACAAACATACGGACGTACAAATATATAGATAACCAAGTGAATTAATACCAATATATATAGGGCTTTGTTCATATAAAAAATGAGAGCTACATAAAATTGGGTAAAGCAGAGGCACAGAATGCATCCCAGAGGTAAGCTTAAATTTTTTCATAGTCAGCAATATATTCGAGGACAGCCGATAATTCAGATGTGCATATTTTCCCACTAAGTGGAAGTGTCGATAGAGGGGAAAAAATAGGCATATTAATGATGCCGATGAATAATATCCTAAATCTGCACTCAGCAGGCGTACATATTTTATATATCAGTGATAAGTTTGAGCTTTTAAAGCCTAACTGCTTAGAGTGCATTATGATAAGTGTTTAAGAACCACGTGATATAAAAAACCTACGTTGATGGGGAATTTTATAAAGACACATTTCGCTAGCCATTAATCAGTCTAGAGCACTAGAGGCGTACTAATTCTACGAAAAGAGTACGCCATTTTCTTATAGCAATCAGCTGTCACTGAACAACACTTTATCGCATAAAAACTCAAATGAAAATAAAGTTGCTAAATACAGACACTTAAAGTCATCCCAATAATTTTATTATTTGAAGAATGACACAAGGCAGAATCTAATCGAATTAGGGTCAAACAAAGTTTAGTCATTCATTGCAATGAGCAAAGTTCTGATGAAACCAGTAAAATATGTTTATATTCGTATGAGAGTAGGGTTTCGAGACTACCAGTAAAAATATGTTTAGCCATGGAGATAGCTTTTGTCAGGTCCTCACAGGATTATTTAGGTAAAATTTATGCGACACTGGTAAATATTTTTATATTTTCATACTTTTAGAAGGTTGGCTATATATATATATTGTTGATGTAATAATTGCTTGCCAAGAGAAGTTCGCCTAGTGCTGAACCAAATATGTCGAATTTCATATTTAAATATTCCGTAAAATTGTTAACAACCAAAAGATAGTTGGCTAACTGACCAACAATGAAGTGGCTTGGCGCAAAAATCAGCCCAAGGATTAGCATCATAAGGGCAAGCGAGAAGGCAATTCGATCGGGTCCAACGAAGTCAGAAAGAACGACAACCATCTGAGTCATTGCAGTACCAGACAGAATGCCATGCAGTCCAAAGCATATGAAATAACCAATTAAACGATTTCGATGCAATTGACGGGAATTGGGCAAATTAGAAGATGCCTCAGCAAGGAGTTTGGCAGGATTCTGGAAGAGAAAAGGAGCAAGAAATAAATAGATATTTGTTAATGACCAAATGAATACAGAAAGGGCTTGTCCACTAAAGAAGCTGTCTGATTGCACAACCATATTTTTATGTTGCTG